TCTCTCTCTCTCTCTCTCTCTCTCTCTCTCTCTCTCTCTCTCTCTCTCTCTGTTGATATATTATTATCGAAAACTCAAAGAACAGTGTTGAATACCAGCACTGGGTGCAACCCCTCTAATCGTGAAAGAACTCGCGTGGACGCTTTTTAGCTCAGTCATCGTGACTGTGTTGCTTTTAATGGCACAATAGTATCCACACCCCCTATCTTATTTTCTCCTGTCTTGTTAACTTAACCAGTGGACCATGTGATCAGCCTTCGTAATAATATATCTGAGTGTGGTAGAGCTATCGACTCCATGAAAAAGGTATAAAAGATGTCTCAGATTTTTCAGCAATCGATTATATCCTTACTGTGCTAGAAGATAATCTCTCTGTCATTGATCGATAACACCAAAGGCACAAAGGTTTGTTTTTTGTACTAGCTGCTGAGTGCCGAAGGCAGGTTACCTACAAACTGTGTCAATGAAATTAATGGACAATGCCAAATTTACTTGATTATCTTTTCCAATCAAACATAAAAAAATAACAAACAACAACAACTACGACAACAACAACAACATCAACAACAAAAACATCAAAAACAGCAACAACAGCAACAAAAACAATAACAATAACAACAACAACAACAACAGCAACAACAACAACAACAATAACAACAATAACAACAACAACAACAACAACAATAACAACAACAACAACGACGACAACAACTTTAATTCAACCGATCTTACCCCCCCCCCCAATCTCCGCCCACCCCAGCAGGCCCGTCTCCCTGACTCTGACTGTTATACATAGGCAGTGTCAGAGGCCTGCTTCATTCATGGATTCCATACTGAAGGAGTTCTCTACCTTGGTAAGGACTTTGTTATTGTCAATATGTGTTTTAAAAAAGTATTTATTTCCAATAATAATGATAGTGATAGTAATAATGCTGGTAAATATAGGCCTTATCATCATCATCACCATCATCATCATCCTCATCATCATCATCATCATCATCATCATCATCATCATCATCATCATCATCATC